AAAAACATTTTTGCCAGCCTTATATTAATTAAGAATGTCTGCAGTATGTTCACCATTACCCTTACTTTATCACAGCCCTGAGAACGTTGATTGCACACTGGGCATGACATTTTAAGGTCTAAAAAGCTGTATAAACACGTTCAGAGTTTATTCAGAGTTTATGATTATGATAAATCACAGCTTGCCGAATCGTTCATTCAACAGCAGTAAGAACAACAGTCTGCGAACATTATCGAGCTGTTTCCATGAAAATTTCCCCTTAAGCCTTTAACGTTATTGTTATTTCCATGCAACCTCCCCAATTACGTCGTGTTGATGAGATCAAAAAGAAAAAAAAGCAAAAGCAAATGCGAACCCTCACTACTAACCGACGTGATTAAAGGCACTCTGAGTCATGTACACTTAGACTCCTTTTCTTCGAAAATGTTTGAGTCATTTGAGTCATTGAGCCTAAGGACCACGTGGACGAAATTGAAGAGTTGAAAGCTCTTTAATCTGTGACCTAAAAGTCGATTAACCAAAGTTGTATCGGCTTCCTTGGATGCCCCACGTCCACAGGCCTGTCTTTTACGCATAAACACGGGAACGTCATTCTGTGTGGGTTTCCACGTATGAAATTTTAATGTGACCAAAACGGATTTTCTTCTCTCCAACAATATCACAAAACACCACAGAAACTCTTTAAATATAATACATGTAAATGTTTCTGTCAATAAATTCAATTTATTTATTTGTATACTTTAAATTATATTCTTTGCCTCGACGGCTTCAGTATGCGGATCTTTGACTGGCTACATGTGGCTACATGCAAAAGAAAGATCCATGAAGATCTCTAATTCGTCTTATCTTCTGTAGCAGTAAATGCAGTTTTGTGGTTATTCATGTCGCAAAAACAACCAGTGAAACGTTTGCTTGCTTTGTGTATTTGTTTTGGTTAGGTGTTACTTATATAATGTCCATCAAAATCTCTCATACAGAGAGTGTATTTTGCTGACGTAGTCACACATTCAACATGCATGAATACTGCTCCCTTTAAAAAATTTCACGCTCACTCAAACAGCATATTACTCCTTACTGGAGCAATATGCTATACAAAAGGGAACAACAAATGCAGAAAAGAATATAACATTACCCGCAAAACATTAGAAACGGAAGGGACAAATTGCTTGAACAAATCATTTGTCCTGAGTGTTACATTTAGACAATTAAGAGGCAGCGTACTCTAAATGCTAACAATTGTATTTTGGGGTTGATTTTTTTTTAGTTCAAATGCAAGAAATAATTTTAAAAATCTAATACAAGAAGGGTAAAATGAATGGGTAAACTTTTACATTATGAGATTGAGATAACATACTGAGATATTAAATGTATTATTTAAACGTATTTTAGTGACACAAAAATGATTACGATAAGGAAGCATTAAGCATAATACATAGGATGCCATTATTGCTCCGTAAATTTAACAACTCGGACATGATAACAAGGAAATCCTTTGGCAAGCCTGGTACGGCAACTACTGTGACATTTGCGCATTCAAATCACAATGCAGGTTAACACAAATATCTTTCCGATGATGCTATGTACGAGTACGCCTGAATGGATTTTCGGTCATATTTCACGATGTTGTTCATGGGTAAAATGATGCTACGTGGAGTCTGAGGGATTTACTGCCAGGGTCAAGCAGAGGTCAACATGACATCTGTGCTACTATGACGCACGAGTGACAGAAACGCATCCTGGTCTGTCGCATCGTTGTAAAAACGAACTTCATTTCGAACGGTATTGTCCTCTTTGTGAACAAACATGAGGCATTCACACATTACGTCGGGTCCTATGTATACATGCAGATAGGTACGGGCATGGAATTCATCATGGCCACAACAGATATTTATCAAAAATAAAAAGGGTCATTACATTCTGACAATGATATCCTCTTAAAATCCACGCCCAGCCCTAGAAATATAAATGTTATCCTAAACCGTCTTTGGAAATGCTAATTTTGGACACACAAGTATATCGGCGGAGATTTGCAGCTATTTACTGTCATAATGTGGAATTTGGGAGGCTTTGGTAAGTAGAACATAATTCAAAACCAACGTTCTACATTTATGGCCTTTCTTTTGAAGATCAACGTATCACTTACTACTTTGATAAGCACAGGATAGGCAGAACAACTAAAGGCGTTGTTTCACTTGATAGGCTTTATATACTTTTTGTGCTCATTATAAGTCGAAATGTGTTGTATAACATACTCTTTTACTGATGCTGTTTTGATATATGTTTGTGTGGTTTACTTTATAATACAAATTTGGTATGTAAAAAACATCAGAAAAATATTGAGTATCTGACTCTCGTATAGATCTCAAGTGCTGTTAGATGAAAGTGGTAAACATGGATTCATATTTTTAGGCATCTCATTTTGCAGCCGTTTTTCATAACACCGAGTATGTTTGTCAATGTATCCAAGCAAAAGAGTTGCCTCCAAGTTTCATCCCAACTTCCAGCATAAGCTTTATCGGCACAAGACTGGTTCAACTTCAACAAGCTGGGCTGCAGCCATATTGCTGTTATCACGTTAACATTAAAGCGAGCGTTGATTAAAGTTAACGTTAATACATATCACCCACTTTAGAAAATTAAAACATTTAAACATGACAAATTGATTTCCATGCAAAGTAAGCGATAGGGCCTGGAGAATTAGCACAGATAGAAATTGTTAGTATTGGAGAATAAATAACAAATTATGAGACAGCGCAACAATAACAAATCTGAGGATCAGTTTAGATGACAATTTAAAGGTGATTGAAAACATTATTTTAGAAAATATTCAACTGCCCCAGTTCCACAATTGTCATTTCTTTCTACCTCTGTAGCCACGTCCTTTCCAACACGAATGCTATTGAGTGTCATGAACACTATGGGTGTTATGAATGCTATATAATATTGAGTATCGTGTTCTACAAATTTTTGGTCCGACTTGTGACTTTTTCCGTCGCTGTTACACCTGGCACGTATACTTTAACAAGAGATATATCACTGAAATTGATTTCAGACTATTTTTATTCGTTTGGTAGGTAAATAATTAATAATAATCTAGGAAATTAAATAATGAGTTCTAAACAATGGATAATATAAAACTATACGCCAGATGTAACAGGGACGGGAAAAAATTGGCCTCCAAATTTATAGAAATTTGAATGACCTAAATGCAAATTCAAAGAAAAGGCACAGAACGAGACAATGTTGACCTTCAAATTTGAAATGTTTACCCACAAATCTTTCGAGGCCATGACGTATACAAAGCAAACCCTTTACGAATAGTTTCCACTTATATGTTGTTACGTTGTATTTCTCGGCCAACATTACAAAAATGATGAGTGATTTCTGACACCTCAAATATTATTGCTGATGTTTCATTGAGAAAATACCGAGTCCACTGGTGATTTGTTCATAGTATTTCATGTGATATTGCTGATAAATCACTCACTGTAATAGTAGTTAACACTGTTGATTCTAATTTTTGAAAACAAATTGTGATAATTTTCTTTACATCTACGTGTACTTCTGGCAATAAACCACATGCACTGTGAGTTTTCAGAGTGCGTGGTGAACATTAAAAAAGTGACAAACCCAAAAAGGTGCCGGGGGGTTTCTATCGAAATAGCAATTATTGATTTCACAAATTTCAAACTTTTTACCGTATGTTATAACCACAGTAATGACACAAATCTAACGGTCAGATGCAGAGTCAATTTTACGCTTGTTGATTAATGATATTCATAATATATATATTGAGGTTTATCCACTCTTTCAGAAACTTGAATCACTTTCCTTTGTCACTCTGTCGTGCCCACAAAAAATGATTTTGCATTGTCAATTATGCACAGAGTTTTAATTATGTCCGGCTGACAGAAAAAGTGACCAGATGTTGATAAATTTGTATTTTTGGGTGCACGATATATTTTGGACGTGGGACTAATTGGGGTAATCGAAAAAGTAGTTCCGGCAAACTGTAACACTTTATCAGAACATGGATAGACATAACGTCAAGATTGAAATGTGGAAATTTTTTTTAAATGTATCTGTATTTAAGAAACAATTATACATTTTTGCCAACATAATTGTACTTGACATGCATTTCATAGCACCGTATCATAATGCTTCCAATAATCTCAGGTCAACGTACAAAGGGCGAATGCCCCACATCTGATAAGTTCATAAAATAAATTGATAATCGTTTCAGTAAAATGTTTGCTGTACACTCCCCGGTCCATAAACCATAGCCTGCTTCAGAGATGCGACCGAGATCATGGATACTTATGCAGACATTACATATGTCTACCAGGAAATGTAATATCGGAAAAGCCACGTTTCCTTCCTTTAGTGAAAACACACTTTACTGTAGTGAATACAAAGCGACCGCGCTATGCAAGGCTTTGAACACATTGATTTAGCCCAGCCTCTCATATAGGCATATACGGGTTGATATTGCACAGCATGTATCCTGATAATTACTGTGCAGCGGCTGCTTTGACGTAAACATGCAAGCGGCTACATGATAGCGCTGATGATGAAAATGGCGGTTACTGGCAAATTATGGATGGGTAATGATGATGGGGAGGGGTACATCATGCACGCTTCGCTGGCTGTGGGAGGACAGCGTGGAAACAATGAAAATAAGGTTGCCTCGTGACATCATAGCGCGCAGCGTGACTGCTCTATTTGCACAGCATATCGTGGGGTTATACCGCCATTGTTGGGTTTCCCTTGTCGTCGTATTCATCTAATTTTCGCCGCTTGCTCGACCTGTTTACTCGCTGGCGGGCACCAGTTGAGGGAGGGGCGCTGCCTGCCGTTGCTTATATCCATATATCGGGGCTACCAGATTGACACATGATGCGCCTTTCTGGACTCCTGATTCATTCATTTCGGTTAGAAATTAGACCGAGGCATACAAATTCTCATCAGCTGGCAAATGAGGGAACGAGCTCAAGACTTACTTCATCTGTTTGACGATTGTGCTTTTCCCCGATTCCCCTGCACCTGTAAAACGAACACAAAATGAGATTTAGTCCTCACCAATCATAATGAGGTAAAATGTTAATGGAGCGGACGAATTTGACTGACGGCCGGCCGCGCAATTATAATACTCTCGACCACTTGTAAACATCCTTGGTTGCAGTGGTAAGCAAATGACTAAAATCCCACAGCTTGAAAGGGCTGAAACCTCGTCATCACTAACAAGAACACTCGAAAAACACAATGCATCATCATACAAAACATATGACAAGCCTCTTGAGCAGAAGTCTCCGCAAGAGGGGACAATTAGCCGAGCGGTAGTGAATGAGGCTTGTATTGCGGCAATATGACAATAAACCGAGGAGAGACTAACAAGTGAATACTGTCAAGCGCTAAAATCATAGCATGAATCATTCAACTTGAGATGCGGGCTGGGCTGATCAGCCAGCAACACACGAAGCAACTCACCCAGCAGTAGTAACTTAACATCCTTGGCTGCTTGTAGTCCGTCATCTTTCAAAGCCTTGTCGATTTGTCGGCTTTTCTCTGCTGCTTCCCGATCCTCGGCACTCATAGTACAGCCCATCTTGTCTAGGGTGAGGCACGCAGCAAATCATATGCAAAGAAGCCAGCCTGAGAATTCGGGCCGTATTTTTCCACGAGCCGCCCGTTAGTCAGCAGACCCGTGACGTCTAGCTGTCCAACGCGCGCTGATATTTCGTAGGGTTGTCCTGTGACGTAAATGCCGAGTAAATGAGTTTGGATCCTGTACACACAGCCGGCCGTATGGCGAGAAGTACGTAGTGGATATGTAGCAAGGTGTGGTGCGGACTGCAAGACAGTCTAGTTGATTGGCATGACAACGTCACGGCATACATTGCCAAGGCGGCTGCCTTTCCAATTCAGATACCGATTGTCACTGACGAGATGCAAAGCACATCTCCTCACTGGCGTCCTATCCGCATATCATTCTTTCGTCAATTTTCCAATGATCTTGTGGATGAACAGCAGTATTCATCAGGATGAGTTGGTGGTCCCCAAAAGCAATAACAGGTTGACTGTAGACTGAAGAGAAAGGAAAACAGGGAGGGTGTAAAAAAAAGGACACAGTGGTCGCCCGAGGCGGCTATTGGATGGCACGGTGTACACTTCAACGTGTGCATTTTTCGACAGAATGTTCGCACGAGTAAGCAAACGAAAGATATGGCACGTGACATTTGTGTCAGGTGGGCCCACGTATAGCACATCTGTCCATACCAGCATGATTGACAATGACCAACCTATACATCAAGAGCATTTCAATAAAATACAAGCATCCCAGAATACAAATTTTGAACTATGTTTGTTGTCCGTTTAAAAAATTGAATTCCAAAGTGATCATTGTAATTTGGATACCAGTACGCTGACAATTTGGTTTAAGTTATTCACTTCACAGAGTTAGGCAATATTAGAAATCAAGTAATGATACACAGATCACGTCCTATTTATGTATTCACGGAAAGCACGTCAAATTTTATTCATACTATTGCACTCCAAGAAAGTAAATGTATATTATTAGCCATAAATCAATTATTTATGGCTGTCTTTTATTTTAGGTTTCTGTACACATTCATTTGAAGGAGGGTATTAAACGTTCAGAATGTACATTTGCAGGTTGTTCCTAGAAATACACGCAAACCACATCTCCACATTCAAAATCCTGCATCACGTCAGAACTTCTGCCACATGAGTCATGTGAACGATGAAAAAGAACGATGTTCGGTGGTAAACCAGCTAATGTTGCGGATGGATCTGAGTGGAATGTTGAAATACATATTCATGAAAACTATTCAGCGAAGCCGTTGATGATTTGTGGAAAAACTCAAGCACTTGGTTTACAACGAAGTAGCACAAAAGGAAGTAAATGGACCGGAAGCCAGATGAAATACCAACGGCTTCAAAGTTGAGTACACATATTACATAGGACAGAGGTGCATATGAAGCGTTAGTAGATGAACTACGTTGTTTGGGTTCAACCATGATTCACCTGAATTGTCGACACCCTTCACCGTTACAAATTTCTTATTTCTGGCAAGAAGTTTTCCATTGGCAATATATCTCTTGTGAACCATCCTTAAGGTTAAAAGTCAAAACAATAGCCATCAACGCAACGCACATTTACCGGACGAGATAAAACATTTTGAATCGGACGGTGTTTTGCTCTTGCACGGATGCAGTTGCATAATGCTAAAGCTAATTTTAATTCCGTACAGCTTTTGATTTAAGAAAACAAAAACAAAGCAAAAGACGAAATTATTATTTCCCTGGCAGATAACAAATTGTTGGTCTGCTGTTATTTTACTAGTGAATGTTACCAAAAAAAGTTTTTAAAAAGAGTTGGAAGGTGGACACTAAAGATGGTAAGATGGCCTCAGAGATGGTTGAATTCAATACTGACCTCAAAGAAAATTCTCAAAATGAAAAAGCGATTCCTTAAATTTTGTAAAAAGATACATGCATACGCATTTATGCAAAAAGAAATTAACGAACCTAATTCAAGCGAAAGAATGGACAATTTGGTGATCATGGTAGAACATTTTAAGGTTAAAATGATTTTTTAAATGTTTCTTATACCGGTGTTTAATTAAATAAAAACTGTATTCACGTAATTTCCAACCCCCTTTGGTGACGAATTGCCCAAAAGAAAAATTCTGTTTAATTAACGAACCAGCGCATTAAGTATTCGCTATTTGCTGAAACCTCAGCGCGCTGCCTGGGTATTTAACAACGTCACAAATATCTTAGTCTTCGCTGGCAGGAGTGACATGAATCGAAATGTGATGACATCCGGGATCTACTGTTTCGCAGGCTTTCAAGCACCAACGACGACTTCCAAGTTACGACGACAAAAAGGATAAGCATAAAAGGAAATCTTTTTTCTTCATAAATGGTGTATTAGAATGAATAAAGCACTGTATGGGTGGTGGGCCACGATGGCTTGATGGACTCTCCTTTAGGTTTTCTATTCTTACAATTATAGGTAAGGTCTATGACTCACTGGTGATGGCTATAAATAAACCCAGACCAGATGTTTGGGCGCTGTTTTTCATTTTTACGTGTTGCTTTCTTTCAGTCTTAAGTTGATCTTACAAGTGGCGCCCACAGACCGAACCAGAAAAACAAGTGAGAAAAGCGCCCAACTTCTGAGGCTAAATAGCCTACAAGCGCGATCAAGGACGGATACAGAACCAAATTTTCGGAGGGCAACCTGTTTTCGAGTGGGCCATTTTTCATGTAACCTCTCATGGCCTGTATGAAGGGTGGGACAGTTCATGGATGTTTACATACTTTTTGACGGAAGGGAAATGAAACATACTGAAAACCTCGACTTTCCCTCATTAATTTCAAGATAGATTTTTGCTCCTTTCTTTGGGGGGCATGCCAGCGTTGGCACCACTGGATTTGCCCTTGCTCCTAATTAACCTTTTTTCACATCGATAAATATTTATTGTTTGAAAAAAATAAATACATAAAGGTGTTTTCGTAATTTTGATCAACAAGGTCGGAGTTACGCCACAAGTGACACAGCGTAATGTGACGGCTCGGGACTTCAACACACTGGCTAGCAAACCACCTGCGTGCTGAAGCAGCAACAAGTCTTAG